CAAAAAATAAGAAAAATAAACAAAAGAAATGATGCTCAACATAAGTTGAAATTAAGAAAATGCAAATAAAAGCCATAAGACTGAGACAGATATAAATTTTAATGTCCTGTAGATTTAATTGTAGTAGAGAATTTGAGAGAGATCTAATAATCTGGGGCGTTAACATAAATTGACATTAGTACTTTGGAGAGCAACTTGGCAAGAGTTACTGAAATTGGAGATACCCACGTGTTTCCACCTCAGGTAGGTATCCTGATACCTTGTACTTGCAAAGCCTTTCATTGCAATATCATTAGTAATAGAAAAAATGGAAAATGGGGAATGATCAAAATAAACTGTGGCATATTCTTGGAAAAGTCTCAAGCATGTTGTTGAGTGAAAAAGCAAGTTGCAAAAGGATGCAATAGACACAAACTACACACAATATTAGCTTGTGTTTATGAGCACATGCATGTATAATGCATATATGATAAAAGTATAAAAACCAACAGAGAAAGTATAAACATCAACTTAGAAGAAACTTCCCTAGAGAAGAGAGATGAAAATGGAGCATAGGACTCTAGCTATGTCTGTAAAGATGAATTTAAAAAATGAAGCCAAAATTGCAAAATGTTAATTTAAAAAATCTGAGTGGATACATGAACATTTATTATATTATACTTGATTAAATATGTCATAGTGAAGTTAAAATATTTTTAAAAGAATTGTGATTAAGATATATTGAACATGGCTTTCTTTTGATATTTAAAAATACCAACTATAGAGTTAAGAGATATTTGGACCAATGGGTGCATTATTGAATAAAACCATTTTCACTGCAAGGTAACAACTATATTCTTAGGAAAAACATTCAATTGAGCATACATAATATGATTCAAATATTTTTTAAGGACAAACAACTTATTCATTGTCACAGTTAGCAATCTGATTATGACTCTGAAAATGACTTTTCGCCTTATATTTAAACAACACTATTATATGTAGACACTATTTGTCCATATTTTTGAGTTGTTTTACCTAAACTAATTAAAGCAAAGGTAAGGTAGATCTTACAGAAATGCAGTAACATTTAGAGCACATATTAGTATAAGAATTTTGATGATGAATATATATATGCATATATATTTACAATTATGTTATCATGACTTAATATATTTTAATTTTGTGAAGAAGTCTGTTTTATGTTTAATTATATCAAGTACGAAATGCTTCTGTGTGTTTATTACTTAATTTTATTTTTCTGAAATTGCTCATATGACTTTTTTAAATTTGGAAAAGCCTCTCACTACTAATTTGTAGAGGTGAAAGTGGAAAGAATCATTTTCATATTAAAGACAATGTATCATTTTTTTGTTTTAAATAGCGTTATTAAGGTATAATCTACATCCCATAAAACTCACCCATGTTAAGTGTATAATTCAGTAAATTTTAGCAAACTTGCAAAATGTACAATTACCACAATTTAATTTTAAAACATTTCCATAATCTTAAAAAAGAAACTTTAGACCAATTTACAACCATTTCCCATTCCTATTTCTAGCTCTAGGCAACTAATCTATTGTCTTTCTACATATTTGTTTTTGGGATATTTTATATAAATGAAATCATACAATATGTACTATTTTGTTTGTCTAGTTTCTTTCGCTGAGCATAATGCTTTTTAGATTTATTCACGTTGTGGCATGTATCAGTATATCATTCTTTTTTTACAGTTGAATATTGTTTCATTTTATAGATATATCACATCTTGTTGACTTACTCAGTTGATAGGCATGTGAGTGGGTATCATTTTTTTGACTATTGTGAAAAATGCCATTGTGAATATTCATGTACAAGTTTTCTACGTAGACATGTTTTCATTTCTTTTGGGTAGGAGTGGAATTACTGGATCATATATTAAGTTTATGTTTAAATTTAAGAAACTGCCAAACTATGTATCAAAGTTGCTGCATCATTTTACATTTCTACCAGCAATGCATGAGGGTTCTGATTTTCCATATCCTTGTCAACACTTGTGACTTTCTGTCTTGTTCATGTTAGTCATCCTAGGATGTATATCATTGTGATTTAGGTTTGCATATTCCTAATGCCTAATGATGTTGGGCATCTTTTCATCTCTTTATTGGCTATTTTGTAAATCTTCTTTGGAAAATGTCTATTTAAATTCTTTGTCCATTTTTTGTGTTGTCTTTTTATTATTGAGTTGTAAGAATTCTACATATATTTTAAAGAAGTCATTTATTGTTATATGATTTGAAAATGTTTTCTCTCATTCTGTGGATTTAATTTTAATTTCTTAGTGGTATTTTTTGAAGAGCAAAAATTTCTTATTTTGATCACCCTACTTATTATTTTTTCTTTTATCATTTGTGCTTTTAATGTTATATCTAAGAAATTATTGCCTAACCCAAGGTCATGAAGGTTTACCCTTCAGTTTTTCTCTAAATAGTTTTAATTCTTACATTTAGGTTTGTGATTCATTTTGAGTTAATTTTTATGGATGGTGTGAAGTAGGGGTCCAAATAAATATTTTTTGCATGAAGTTATCAAATTGTCACAGCACCATTTGTTGAAACTTTCTGGATGCTGTTGTCAAAATCAGCTAACTATAAATGTAAGGGCATATTTCTGGGATTTCAGTTCTATTCCATCCATCCATATGTTTATCCTTATGCGAGTACCACTCTGTCTTGGTTATAATAGCTTTGTAGGTTTTGACATTGGGAATGTAAGTCTTCAACTTTTTCTTTTTCAAGTTTTTTTTTGGGGGGGGGAAGGAGAAGGGGTCTTTTACATTTCCACAAGAATTAATGGTCAATTTCTAGAAAGAAGCTACTTGGAATTTTGATGGGGATTGCATTGAATCTGTAGATGAATTTTGGAAATATGTCTTCTGATGCATGAAGATGAGATATCTATTGTGAATAAGATGTTTGCTTAATTTTATTTTCAGATTTTTTTATTGTTTACAGGAAAAGAATTGATTTTGTATGTTAATCTTGTATCCTGCAACCTTGCTGAACTCATTTATTACTTTTGATTTTGTTTAGTGGATTCCTTAGGATTTTCTATGTATAAGATCATATCATCTGCAAATAGAGACAATTTTACTTCTTCCTTCCCAATATGAATGCCTTTAACTTTATTATTTTTTTCTGTAATTGCCCTGGGTAGAAACTCCATAAAATGATGAATAGACGTGAGAATGGGCATCAGTGTCTTCTTTCTCATGTCAGAGGAAATCAGTCTTTCTCCTTAAGTAAGATGTTAGTTTTAAGTTTTTCATAGAGATTCTTTATCAAGTTGAGCAAGTTTCCTTCTATTTCTAGTTTGTTGAGGGTTTTTAATCATAAGTGCATGTCAAATTTTGTCAATTACTTATTTTGCATCTATCAAGATAATCATGTGGTTTTGTTCTTTATTCTTTTTTTTTTAACCACTTTATTGGGGTGAGATTTACATACTAAAAGCTGTACATATTTAATGTGTACAATTTGAGTTTGGAGATAAGTATATGTCTATGAAATCATCATTATAGTCTGTGCTATAAACATATCCGTTATCTCCAAAAGTCTTTCAGCCAAAATTTTAAGTAAACAATACAGTATTGTTACCAATAGGTACTATGCTATACAGATCTTTAGGACTTATTTATCTCGCATAACTGAAACTTTGTTCTTTTCACTACATTAATGTGACCTTTTTTATTTTTTTAAATTCCAGCTCTTCAGTTTTGCTTGTAAAGCCTGCAAAAAGGTGATATTTAATATACCTTCTAAACTAGAGGCAGACAAAATGGTCGGCAGAGGTGAGAAATTTTAAGTGTTTTTAAAACAGAAATTTAGTTTACTTACACAGGAAAGAGCATGTTATCAATCTTTGTATTTTGGAATTAGCCTGAATCTATTTATAGTTAGATACAAATGAAGATTATTTGAAGATATATTTCATTTCTTTATATCTCCATTGAATTCTATGGTTGATTCTAGTGCAAATGTTCTAAGCTATGATTTTGTACTTATTCATGTTTTAAGGGTTAAACATTACATAAAGGACTACATGTAGAACATAGCCCTTTCGTTGCTCAAGGATTCAAGCATTAGAGAACTGTAGATAAGGAGCCGAGAGAATCAGAGCAGTATTTTTATCAATGCAATGCTATGGCTGCACTGGGGAACATAACAAGGTGAGCCGTTCCATTCGAAATGGAACTTAATCAGCCATTTGCACACTGAGAAGCTGGCAAACCTCAAACCTTCTCGGCAACAGGGAAGCTCTGCCCAGGTGGACTTTCCATGTGGTACAGGGAATATTGTAGGAAAGCACCACGATTATTTTTTAAAGAGATATAGCTTGTCCCAGAGATACTGAAAATATTTTTTCAACAAAGTGTACCATTTCTGGTTATAGTGCTTCATTTAACTTTATTAAACAAAGGCCACTTTTATTGCTATAGGGAGAAAGAAAAGAAAGGTTGTAAAGGGAGTTTAGAAGTGTTCCTCTAGGGAAATAGACTAGAGGTAGTCATTCTGCTGAAAATGAGGTGAGAGAAATCGGTCATCGCTCTTAAGATGTTTACTTCTTTGTGACTAAATGTTTCCCATCTGTGACAGATTAGGATTAAAGTAAAAACACTATACATGGGTAACATATGAATCCTTTGAGAGGTTATTACATAAGTGAGTATTAATTATCAATTAGGTTTCTGTTAATGTAGAAAGTGAATGGGATGGATTTGACACTTTTGATACAAGTATCAAAACACTTACATCGATACCTATATTTCATTACCTTTTAGTAAGAAGGCAAAATTCTTAAGGAGAGAAGACCGCATGTAGAATTTCGGTGTCCTGGAAAGCTAGGAACACAAGGAGAACTTGTGGGCCCCTGGTAGGGTTGGGATGTGATGGGGGAGGGTAACAGAAAAGTGCCAGTTGGAAGAAATTGAAGCTAAATTTTTCTTGACTATTTGCCTAACTCATACACTGCATTGCTCACATGTATAACCTCTGACTAAAGACAGATGTATCTTAAAAGACTGAGACTATATTGTTAAGGAAACTTTTCTGTTTGTTCAGGTGTGTGTGGGGGTGTGTAGCTCAGTTTTGTCGTGATTGCAATACACACATCTCTTTATTAGGAAGAGCATTTTTATGAGCCTTTTAGAAGCATATAAACTTTTAGAGCACCTTATTTAATACAAATATATAATCAAGATTATTATTTTTTAACTGAAATAAAATTGTCATTTAAAAAATACATGTAAAGAGACTGGTTAATTTGGTAAATGCAAAGTGATTGGTTTATTTCACTCTACTTCATGATTCTGAAGATTGTATAAATTATTTTAACACTTTATTTTTTTCTTTTTGCATGTGTTTCTACTTTACAACATGAAAATTTTTACTTACAGTTAATTTGAAAGAGTGCCTCAGGTCTGCAGACCTCATCCAGTTGAGTGACCCTGATTTCCGAGTTCTAGATGATGGGTCAGTATACACAGCCAACACTATTGTGTTATCTGATGAGAAAAGGTCCTTCACCCTGTGGCTTTCTGACACGAAGAAACAGACACGGAAAGAGATTACTGTGCTCCTGGAACATCAGAAGAAGGTATTCAAAGTACATTGATATTTTCAGGCATGTTTTTCTTTTCATTTAAACATTTTCATTAAAAATTGTGAAGAGGAGCAAAGGATAAGTAGGATTTTTTTCCTCTCCTTTTCTCTCCTTTTCCAATCCCTCTCCTTTCCCACCCAACAGCCCCTTTTCTCTCTTTCTTAACACTGATTAAAACTGGCTTCGTTAAATTGAAAGGACACCTCTTCGGCGAAGTCTCTGTAGCCTCGAAGTCTAACTAATTGATTTTGTGTGCCTGTGTCTGTCTGGTTATCTCTCTATTATAGCATTCAGATTTTTTTTTCATCAGTGTGAACAATTTATCCATAGTTGTTTGAGGGCATGAATTGATCTCCTTTGAGCTCATATTCTCAGTAATACCTGACCCACAGTCAACAGATGTTAAATTAATGTTAAGAGCAGTGGTTCCCAGTGAACAAGAGGTTGATTTCAAGTCCCACAGTGATTCGGATGCTAAAAGAGAATGGAGATTCTGGAGTATGAATAAGTATGAATAAGAATATGTATGTCATGCTATTAACCATCGCTCAGAGGATTATTCACTGCTGTTCTAAATTCCACATCATGCAGAATGGGTGATGAAAGTAGTCACAGAAATGATGAAAGGTTTAGACTGGATTACAACTAATTGATGCTAAGTGTATTGATGAGAAAGTTAATTGAAATGACTGTTTAGCACTTTAATAAATGTTTAATAAAATTAATTAATGAATTATGAGGAAATAAAATGTCTTCCTCACTATACCAGGAAATGAGGTGGAAGTCACTACAAAGTCCAATAGAATTTTCAGCATTCATGGCAATGTTCTATAACCTGCACTGCCTGATATGGTAGCCCAATATTAATGGCTACTGAGCACTTGACCTGTGGCTAGTATAACTGAAGGATGGTATTTTTATATTTTGTTTAATTCTTATTAATTTAAATGTAAACAGTCACATATGGCTAGGACTACCATATTGGACAGTGCAGTCAGAGTGTTAAGGCAGTGAAGAAAATGCATTTCCTTGCTCAGATTCTCATGAGTATGAGGTTTTAGCAAAAAGGACAGGTAAATGCTGTGTTTTTTATCTTTTTGGGACAGAACAAGAAGACCTAAGAGGTGATTTTTCTGAAAGTATGGTGTTAGAAAGGTATACAAAAGGACATTCTCTGGTTTATGAAACCTTTAAAATCTAGATATATTCTTTCTTACCCTTCTAATACAAAAATGCCTTATTATCTGGTCTTTAGCTTTAGCATGGAAATTCCTGAGCCTGAATCTCCAGGGAGGCGTTAGGTTTATGGGCTGTCTGCTATCTTACAACAAGGTAGGCCTTGATGCTTTTGTTTATTTAATTTTCTTTCTCTAAATTCAGGTATTGAGGAAAAGACATACTAAAGAAACTGTTCTCAGACGTTCCAAGAGGAGATGGGCACCTATTCCCTGTTCAATGCAAGAGAATTCCTTGGGCCCCTTCCCACTGTTTCTTCAGCAAGTAGGTTTTAAATCCTTTCTGACTGGAGTGTTTTAATTCCAAGAGTCTGTTTTGTTTAGGTTTAATAACTCTTTAAACATTTCAAAATAAACAGATTTGATTGAATATATTCATAAAGTGTTATAAAAGTGAATAAAATGAGAAAATCACTGAAACAATAATGAGAAAAACTAGAAAATCACTAAAAAACTAATAATATGTAGCCATTTAATGATCTTTATTAGTTTATTCATTCATTTAGCAGCTAGTTATTGATCACCTCCTATATCTTGTGGAAGGCACTGCTCTAAGTACTGAAGCTAGAAATAAACTTAGTCATGGTTCTTGTTCTCATATAGTTTCTTAGCCTACTGAGGGAGATGGAAGTAGACAAATGATTACATTACTGAGTGATGAGTACTATGACAGAGATAACCGGATTGGGGTGATCTGAGAATTTATGAGATGAGTACCAAGACCTGAGAGGAAATAGGGTAGAAAACAAGAAAAGGCTTAGAGGGGGAGACATCTCAGTTAAGTTCTGAAGGATGAGAAAGTGTTGTGCAGGTAAATAATTATGGAAGAAGAGGGAGAGGTATAGAGGCAAAAGCAAGCATGACTCATTACAGGAGCTCTGGGTAGCTTAGTCCGGGTTCCCAGGTATGGTGGCAGTGGAGCAGGGAGATGAGGCAGAAGAGTTGTGTTGGGGTCGTATCATAATGGAACATATGTGTTTTGCTGGGAAGTTTAACTTTTCCCTAAAAACGAGAAGTTTTTAAGCAGGGTTGGGTTTACTTTTCATAAAAATCTAAATGGAATATATACAATGAAAACAATTACTGAAGTTGGGCTATGGCGTTATGCTTGCTTTTTCTCTTGAATTTCTAATACTGTGGTTGATGTTTTATACCAATGGTATGACCTATGCTATTTGTTTACTGTTTTAGCTGTCATTCTAGAGTCTCTCAAACTTATTTTTTATTCTACCCAGTACTAGATCTTTGTTTCTTCTTTTTATTATCATACTTTAAGTACTGATGAGGCATTTTAAGAAATGATTTCTGATTATTAAAGTTATACTAATCAGAGCTTTCACATTGCTAAATTAGTCACCACCTCTCAGTCTTCATTTCTTTGAAATATGTATTGTACATTTGACATAGCTGACCTGACCTCTTTCTCCCCCTGAAAATACTTTCTTCACTTGGCTTCTAGGACACCATTCACTTAGTTTTCTACTTGGTATATTTTGCTGTTTCTTTCCTGCTCTCCCTCCTCCCTCCCCAATACCCTGCCAATATCCTCTCTAAACTTTGGAGAGTTCTCAGGCTCAGTCCATGAATCTTGTCTCATGTTTATTTATATTCACTCTCTTGATAATCTCATCCAATCTAGCTTTAAGTACTATTTATACACTGGGGACTTAAGACTTCATATTTCCAGCCCAAAGTGCCTAATTGATATTTCCACTTGGAAATTTAGTAGACATTTCAAACTTAACATATACAAATTGAGTGTTTGGGTTTTCTTCTAAAACCATTCTCCCATCACAGTTAATGGCAGCTCCAGCTGAAAGTTGTTGGAGCATTGGAGTCTGTTTGGTAGGGTTTTAGATATAGAGAGCATACTTCTAAGTAATTAACAGATAAGAATTTACTACAGTGTATTAAACAGTTTATAGAATTGTTGGGAAAGCTGAAGAAACCAACTTTAGATTGAATTTTCAGGAATAAACCCCAAGCTACACCACAGAATCCACAACCAAGAGACATGCTGCTTTCTCCATGATGGGGAAGCCAGTAATTTTAGAGCCAAAGTGCCATTGCCATGGTCAAGAAATCACCACGGTCATGAAGCTGCCCTTCTAAATGCATCTCCTTTTTGCTCCAGTTAGCAAAAAGGTTTTCACCAAGCTTGTGAAAAACTGCTAGAATTGCTGCTGCTACAGAAAAAGAAAAAAGAAAAGCATCTAAACTATGATGCAAGCAAAAATAGCAGAAACAGCAAAAATGAGACATCTACTTCACTTATGGCTTCCAAATCTTATGCAGGCACACCTGATTGTCTGTATTTAAATCCATAACTCTTGTTTCAAGAGAGTCTGGAAAACAGAGAGGTTTGGGTTCAATCTTTCTAGCATCTACACTCTGAGAAGACACAGTAAAGGGAGGATGAAATAGATATTGCGCCCCAGTTTACCATATCCATCTACTGTTTTCAGTTGAACATTTAATTCCTGTATTATTATAAGATTTTGGTATAACTTTATTTTACCAAGATCTCAAATTATGGTGGCTTAAGCATGACGGAGATTCATGCCCCTCATGTAGAAATTTGATCTAGTAAAGAGATTCTAATTTAAGAAAACTCTAAGAACCTACAATTCTTTGTTTTTAGCTTGGCCATCCGTGCAGATTCAAAGTGGCTTATTGCTATGTTCACATTAAAAACCAAACTCTTCGATCTTCTAGAGAACAGTCTGGATCTTGCACACATTACTTTTGTTCACATTTGACCTGACCTTTTCATGTGACCACAGCTAATTGCAAGGGAGACAGAGAAATGTCTTTCTTCAGGGCAACCTTGTATTCAGCATAAATTCTAATACTAAAGAAGATGGATTAAGGGATACTAGCTAGCATCCTCTGAGATAGTGTCATCCTCAACTTCCATCTTCATACCACACATCCAGCCCATTGGCAAATCCGGTTGGCTGTATGTTATATATCCAGAATTATACATTATATCCAGAATCTAACCATTTTTCATAATCCCTGCTTCTACTATGATAGTCTAACAAACTATCACTCTTCCCTAAATTCTTGCATCGACTTTCTAAATGGTCTCCCTCTATCTTCCCTTACCCACCCATCCAAATCTATTTTTAACAAAATCCCACGAATTATCTCTTTAAAATATAAATCAGATAATATTACTCTTGCCTAAATTATCCGATATCTCCCCACCTAACAGGGAAAAGCCAATATCCTCGGAATTACTTACCTGGCATTTCTCTTTATCTCCTTCTCCTTTCCCCCAGCTCTCCCAACCACAGTGGCCTTCTTGCTGCTCCTTAAACACTTCAGGCAGAGCCCGAGCCTTGTCCATTTGCACTCCCCATTTCCTTCACCAGGAAGAGTCTTCTTTGTTTATTCTCACAGCTCATTCTTTTAATTTTTGTCAGTTACCCTAAGGAACATTCCAATTGGCATTCCCTTCACCATATTTGAGAGTCCCTATTTACCTCACTCCTGCCAACAATTGGTATTATTGTTCTTTTCTATCTTTGCCAAATCACTGGATAGGAAATTATGCCTATTGTTTTTAATTAGATTTACTTTGGTTATGGTTTATTTTGAACATTGTTTTAATTAAATTTGAGCAGCTGTAAAAAATCTTTTGCATAATGTTTGTTACTCTTTTGTGTGTTGACGGAGTGACATGGGACTATTGTTTTATTAAGTCATCTGTTTAAAATAAAATTATAAACACATAAACTGCATTTTTTTTAAAATTAGCATTTTAATGGATTTAATTTTAAATATTTTACATATGTTTTTTTCCTTTTAGGTTCAGTCTGATGCAGCACAGAACTATACTGTCTTCTATTCCATAAGTGGACGTGGAGTTGACCAAGAACCTTTAAATTTGTTCTTCATAGAAAAAGACACTGGAAATCTGTTCTGTACTCGGCCTGTGGATCGTGAAGAATATGACATTTTTGATGTAGGAGTTTTATTAATATACATGATTTTAAATGATTAAACTATGTTTCTTCTGTCTTTTTCTGTCTCTTCTTCTCTACTTTTTCCTGTCTTCCTGCACTCTCTTCTTAGAGGGTACCTGAAAGTCAAAGGAAATAGACTATGCAGTATTTGGAATATTTGGTCTGCTTTTTATCTCAACTTTTGTTAGGTTAGTTGAAATGAAATGAAGAGCTTTAATTGTACTTGAATGTAAATTCCCATAAGTTTCCAGGACTTGTTTTTGCTCATGAGGTACTCTTGCTCTCTCTGGTCATAGTACAGTTTCCTCTCTCCAGGACATGCCCAAAGTCTGCCTTCTCCTTCTCTAACTACTTTTTCTCTCTTCCTTCCACAAGTATGATTCTCTTATCACATCTGAGAACTGGATAAGGAAGCTAAAGTGGGAGAATAAACCCAAACAAGGGTTAATAAGCCAGCATTCTGATACAGATGAGCTTATAATCAATGGAGAATAACTCAGACAGTTTTCAGTGTGATATGGTAAATGCTGTGGGATCATGTAGTCATCCCTGTGGTATAGGAAAGAGGATTCTTTTCTTAGAAGAAGGAAGAGAGGCTGTGTGAGCAAATGTGACAGATGTCTACAACGTGACATTTCTTAGCTTTTGATTAGAAAATTATCAGCTCAATGTTATAATCACATGCCTAATTGAAATACATTCTATTTGACATTACATTGCCTTTAACTAATTGGCAATGCAGAAATTAGTAAATGTATTTTGTTATAAAAACTCTTAAAATATGTGATCCATGAAGTAAAACAATAAAATGGTATAGTAGTTCCAAGATTGGGAATCATCACTTTATTTAAATGATGTGATAGAGATTTTTTCCATTGCAGTGAGTTTAATTGTTTACCCCAATACAACTTTCTGATTATGGAGAGAATAAGAACTATAATTTGGGTCTCTATATTCACATTTAAATTCTCGGTCTAATTGACAGATTTGTCCCTGACTTCGCCGTACTCTGAGGTTTTATTTGAAGTGTAGCCATTTCTACCAAATACTGGATGCTCTTTACTGTACTTAAAGTGTTTCTTTATTTGATGCTTTGGTGATTAAAAAGCGCTGAATAGAAATATTTAAGTGGTTTATTATTGAAAAGATTTGCAAAGAAGGTAACAGATAAAGCACAGTATTCTTCCTACTAGAATATTATATCAATGGACTATTGAACTTACGTTTTCCTGTTTTTCAGTTGATTGCCTATGCATCAACTGCAGATGGATATTCAGCAGACTTACCTCTTCCACTGCCCATCAGAGTGGAGGATGAAAATGACAACCATCCTCTTTTCACAGAGCAAATTTATAATTTTGAAGTTCCAGAAAGTAGTAAACTTGGTAAGAGAACATTTTTTATTGAACTTTTTGTGCATGTATTCTTTGGCCATTGGTATTTTTTCTTTTATGAAATATATGTTCATTTCCTTTATTTTAATTTTCTTCGAGGTTTATCTTTTTCTTAACTATTTTTTTAATCTATCTAAAAATGTTCTTAACATATTAAGGCTATTAACTTATTGTCACATTGCAAATATTTTCTCAATGTATTACTCCCTTTTAATTTTATTAAAGCTCCTTTTTGAGGTACAGAAGTTCAGATCTTCCATTTAGTTAAATCTATTCGTATTATACTTGGAATGGCCTTTTCCTTTCAGACTTTACGGTAAGACAACTTTTAAGAGTAAAATGTATTATGTTAAATATGTTTTTGTACATTTTTTGAGACATTGAGTTTTTTAATATTCAAGGTCAGATCATCTTGATTTGATATTGGACCAGTATCTATTTACCAGAATGCATTTCATCCCATCAAATCAAAACAGAGTATAACTTAGAAGATATTATAGGAATTTATAGTGTTGTCAGTATGGTACCAATTAGTTAAAAAGGCAGATAACAGTTATTCAAGTTTTGTCCCATATTTAGTTTACATACTTAATTTTATTTTTCATTATGTCCCTTTATCAATATTCTCATTTCCAAGAGAGGACATGCAGGGCGGAATGTGCAGTAAAATTCACATCAGCATAGCAATTTTTATTAGGTTTTATTTAGGGAGATGTTGATGACATCTATTGATGATTCAATTTTTCAAGCTCATTTTTCTTTCTTTTAAAACTACTACCTTACTACTTCCAATTTAAAATGGATACTGGAATAACTTTAGAGAATCTTGTATCACATGTTCTCCACCTTAAACACTTAGTCTCACATGAGGAAACCAGTGTTTCAGTTTAGTTGACTATTAAACATGGCATTCATGATGTCTTCTGAGCCTTGCAAAATGGAGAATAGCCACTCACAATAAAGTTGAAAGAACGTGGACTCAGTCATAAAGGATGACTTTGCTAACTTGCCTATTAAGGTTTCTGCTAACTACTGAGATCTTTACTGCATTATTATACTTTCTATTCTACTTTATATTTTACTTTGATAATTCGATGTCATAGATATTAACCTCTTTATTACTCACATGATACAATTACACAAATGAAAATCATTGGTTTGGAGTTTAGGAAACAGTTTTTGTTTTAGGGTCTGTTATTAACTCACTGTGGGAACTCATGGAAGTCCCTTTGAATTTTCTGACCTTTAAAATGAGTTAATTCCATTAGGTAAACTATAATGTTTTTCAGCCTCGTAAGTCTATGACTCAGTTACATTTTTAGTTTTTCAAAGAGGGATGATTGATTTCAAATTCTTTCTTGAAGATTCTGTTTCCTTCAGTAGTAACAGAGAAGAATGAAGGACAAACACTTTGATGCCCAGATTAGTTCAGGGTACTTTAAGCATCTCACAGATTCCAAGCAATTAAGGCCGAGATGTTCTGAACTAATGGGTGCTCTTGAGCTTGCCTCGATTCACACACTCAGTTTGGACAAAATGTGGTCAACTAATACTGAAGTATAACACTCATGGAAAGAAATTTTCAAGATTTTAGGAAGATTTTGTGTGATAAGTAGAGCAATTCTCTATTCAGAGAATTAAAATAGTGTTTATATCTTCCTTACTATCAAAAAAATTGCAGGAAGAAAAGGTTATGTCTTACGAAGATTATAAATTTTTTTCTATGAAAAGATACATGAATAAAATTTATTTTCTTATGCTAAAAAGATTACTTTTTATATTGATCCACAACAGAAATCTTGTCATTAATTATAAGTATGAAATTTGACTTTCTCTATTATATATTATATATAATATAAATATATATAAATATAGAAATACACTACATATGTTTATTTACACATATGTACACATTATACATGCATATATAAACTTTAAGGATATTTTATAGTGACAAAATTATTTAAAACTAATATATCCTTGTGTTAAAAGTTTTATTAGGGTTTTATTTCCTTCAAATACAATATTTCAATGAATATATATGTTTGTTTATGTGTGGTTGTATGTATCTATGTGTTATTCCTCAGGCCAGTCTTTCATGCAGCGCTATAGGCAAAGTGGACCTACGCATTACATTTTCACAGGCATTGGAACACTACTCTTACTCTATAAATATACCACCTGTATGTATTCTTTGATACTTGAAGTCCTACCAGGGCAATATTCTTACATTCCATACAGGTGACGGATATGAATAGCTCTAACTGAAGAAATAGTTGACTTAAATTTCCCTTAATGGTTAATATAATAAAATTCCTTCCTGAGGATTAAGTGGGGCTGGGGACACTGGGGTGTGGATACTAAGCTGGTGGAAAAGAAAGAGGCAAATCAGAGACTACTGAAAAACAAAAACATCATAGAAAGGAGACTGTGTTGTGAGTGGTCAACTTGACCATCTATACAGTTATACCCCAAATCAGTCTTAATATAGCTAGTAATCAAAAATTTAATTTTTAAAAATCTCATTTATGCAAGAGACATGCTTTATCTCTCCGGTTAGGTTTGTTATTGCAATTGCATAGGAATATATGTTGAAATTATTCTTGAATGCCATTTAAACAAATTTTTAGTAATTTACTTTGAAACATTTTGAATTGTATGCCAACTCAAAGTATACCTTGCTTCTCAGCATCAAAGTGTTTTATATTGTATATTCGAAGTTGTCATCTTCAGTATTATCTAAAGATGGAATACCTCTGGTAAGAAGTACATTTTCAATTAGATTTCTACCATCGTTGTTAACATTTGAAAAGTTAGATACTCCTAAACATATTCAACAATTCTGGAAATTAAAGACTCTTTTTTTTTTTTTAAACATATAGGTACTACAGTGGGAGTGGTTTGTGCCACAGACAGAGATGAACCAGATACGATGCATACGCGCCTGAAGTATAGCATTTTGGAGCAGACGCCAAGATCACCTGGGATTTTTTCCGTGCATCCCAAAACAGGCGTAATCACCATAGTCTCTAATTATTTGGACAGAGAGGTAGTTTTCACATTCTGTAGAATATCACTCTATTTAATATAATTTGCTATTCTTTGGATTAGGAGTTTCTAATTTTATATTATTTAGGCATAAGATAATAAGAATTCCTGGCTATGTTACCTGTTTTTTATATTACTTTTAAATCCTTATGTAAGATAAGACGTAAGGAATAGAAATACAGATCAATTGGTGTTTAGAAGGAGTGAGAACAAAGACATTTCTCTTTTATTTTCTGTTTTTTTTTTTTAATTAAATTTATTGGCTGACATTGGTTAATAAAATTTTATTTCTCTTTTATTTTCTGTTTTTTTTTAATTAAATTTATTGGCTGACAATGGTTAATAAAATTATATAGATTTCAAGTGTACAATTCAATAATACATCATCTTTATTGTATCTGTATATTTTATCCAAAGTCAAATCTCCTTTCATCTAATGAAAGTTGTTATTATTGAATATCATTTTATTTCTTATGTGTGGTTAGTTGGTTCCAGCTCAGTAAAGTCTTCAATTCCCATGAAGGACAATTTGTTTTGTTCGTTCCATGAGTATAGTTCACATCCAGGTCCCTATCCAGTTATTACAAATATGTGTTATTTATCAGGAAAGGATTAGTTGAGATAAGGTTTATGGATTATTAAAAATTTGTAACACTATTTAGATGATAATAATAGCACATTGTCATGTATAGAGCATTTTATATTCAAATTCTTTTTACATAATTTATTCGATCTTTATAATTTCCTATAGATTAGATTTAATATCTAATAAGAGAAATAAGTAGAATGAAGAGTAGGGAAGAGATAGAAAGAGAAAATGGAAAAAAAAATTAAACAACACAAGAATAGTAAGGTAAATCTAAAAGGCAATGGTGGTGATTGTGTCACAAACTAATGACTCTATTTCATCATTAACATACCATCTGCAAAACTCCATTTCCAGAATTTAAGTCAGCAGTGATTTCCTAATTACCAAATCCAACAGTTACCTTAAGTCCCTGTCTGTTGCCACTTACTGAAACTCTCTCTTCTCTTGGATATATGGTTTTGCTCTTGTTTCTTTGATCTTTTGTTTTTAGTGTCCTTAGCTTAGTCTTTTTATTTCCTCTTTATATCCTCAGCTGTTGAAATGCTATTGTTCCTTATATCCTTAGCTGTTCTCATCCTTTAACCTCTCCTAGATAATCTGATTCCTGCCGTAATTTCAACCACCATCTACATCCTGATGACTCCCAGATCAATATTTCTGGCTATGATCTCTCCTGTACATATGGGGCCATGTATTCAGGACCTTTCTGCATTTCCTTTATTGGTTGGTGATACTCTTGTTTACCTATCTATCTAAGTAGGACACCTGAGCATCATTCTCAACCTTTTTTTCTCTCTTAACTTATATATAGAATTGTCAACTTTTCTGTTATCCTTGTTTTCTGTCCTCATTGTTACTGCCTCAGATTTGGACCATTGGCTTAGAGTATTCTAGGAACTCTTTAACTGGTTTCTTTGACTCCTAGTTCAGCTTACTCCAAATTATGCTCAATGTTCTTTAAGAATATTTTTTCTAAAACTGATATGTTCTTATTTTGTCCCCCACTCATGACTCCTAGAAAATGTTTCCCTATTACCTGCTACTTAAAGCATGAGTTTAAATTTTTCGTTTGCATCTTTATCGTTTAACCTCCACCTACCTCTTTAGCTTTATTCTGGTCTACCAAATTCTTGGAGCATATGCAAATATGAAAATAAAAGCATGGATACACACAAATAGAAGAGTGTACAATTAAAGTTTCATTTAAAAATCTAAACAATGGTTTATAAAACTAAAATATTTGTTTTCTTTTAAGGTTGTAGACAAGTACAAATTGATAATGAAAGTACAAGACATGGATGGTCAATTTTTTGGATTGATGAGTACATCAACTTGCCTTATAACAGTAAAAGATTCAAATGACAATGCACCTGCTTTTAAAGAAAATACTGTAAGTCTATAATATCAAAATCTATCTTTATCTATTGTAATTTGTTATTTAATCGGAATTAATAAACATTATTGTACTTTAAGGTACATATGTTTATTTTATGAATAAAATTAAACAGTAGACATAAATATCTGTTTTACTTATTCATAGTAGTATTTATATTACTGCCTTCTTGGTAAAGGCCAGGAGCATTAGTCTACCTTTGTAATGAATTCTTTCATTTAAAAGATAACCTTTCAAGAAACATTACTATTTATGATTCATGGTTTTAAAATAATCTAGTCAAAAACTATACGAACAATACTTTTATAGTGGAAGAAACATTTTGCTTTCTTTGTAAAAGTTCTCCTTATAAAGTAAATGTTTAATGAGTTCTTTCTGTTTCAGTATGAAGTATCAGTAGAGGAAAATGCATTCAATGTGGAAATCTTACGAATACCAATAGAAGACAAGGATTTGATTAACACTGCCAATTGGAGAGCCAATTTTACCATTTTAAAGGGCAATGAAAATGGACATTTCAAAATCAGTACAGACAAGAAAACTAATGAAGGCGTTCTGTGTGTTGTAAAGGTACAATAATCATAAATAATTGACAACTTGGCAAGTTAACAAGTTTTAATAAACTAATGGTTTAATCGTCTAAAGAGATGCAGTTCATAGACTCTGCAAGTTGGAAGAGAACTTAGTCTCTTTAGCGCAAATTTTCCCATTTAATGCTTACCTTTTTTTCTATAATTTTTTGCCCATTATTCATCACCTAATTTATGCTTGAACATTCTCAATTATAAGGATCTCCCATCTCCATTGGCAGCTTATTATATATTTAGAGAGCTTTGATTCTCAGAAGTCCTTACTTCTACTGTGCCTAAATTATTCTCCTTATATTCCATGTCTTTGATCCAAGTTTTATTGCTAATGCTATACAGAACAGGTGTAATTTTTTTGAAAAGGTTTTTATGTCCCTTTAAGACTTACCTTCTCTAGGATAAATATTCCCAATTCCTCACATGATACAGTTTAGAAGCCCATATTTTTCTCTCTCCCTCCCTCATCCCCCTCATATATGCCTGGTTGTGTTGTATCTGATGCTTTAAAAAGTGATATTGAGGATGAAATATAGCATTATGTTAGACAGCACTTGATGAACTTATTCTTTCTTCTATATATCTTATTTTTCATTGCACTGTTACATTCTAAGGTTCAGGTTATGAGCACAGTAAAGTCTCTGTCTGGGAAGGAACCTCGGTTTTATATTCTTAGCTGAGATCAAGAAAGAAAATTGCCCTGTACGCAGGTATAGGCATCATTCATTGAATAAAGGAAGTTTATCTGCCAATAACAATATGGTGGAGGCTTTGATATGTAATGTTTCTATCTGTAGTTATTTCTACCATAAGAATTTCCAGAGATTATATCATAAGTCTTGGTAAATTTTGTCCAGATGTGAATAGTCGAGTATATTTGTTCCAGTTGACTCTCAACATCAGATTTCTCCTTATATTAGTTTTCTATAATATGATCTGCTCAAACCGAGTATTAAAACCAACTACTTAAAAAAATGAAGTTTTATAATTGGCAGTAATAGGAGAAGCAATAAGGGAATGGTACTGATATTTCTTCTTCCATATTGGCCCAGTCTGACCCAATCTTCATTTGGACTCTCCAGAAAGCAGAGCCTAATAGAAGGATCTCAAGAAGTGGCTCCCAGGAGGCCAGAGTAAAATTGGGAAAGTAAGACAGGAAAGAATGAAAAATCAATCAAGTCTGCTTTATTGAGCTAGTCACCTCTGGTATTAAATTATGCAATGAACCATGTAGAATGCACTTCAGAATTATCTCCTCAAAGATGGGTTCCTGGGGAATTGATCCATGAATGTCCATCCTCAATACCTATGTCCAAGTAATTGAAGGTCACTCTAAGGAACCCCAACTCTCTTGCACTTCTGGGCAGAACTATGCCTGCCAAAGGGAGCTCTCTGGCCTTGGAAGAAACTTTGAATCTGAAAAGCTGAATATGTGTGTGCTTGAAATGTGAATCTGTCATCATAGACAGGGGCAGTGTCCACCAGAGCTGCAAATGAAGTTAGGGTGGGCTGAGGGGCTATGGTAAATGATTCTTTTGAAAAAGGCTGCTATGCATCTACTTCAGTTTCCAAAGCTGGAAACATTTATGTAGTGCAGGCATTTGCCTCAAAATTTTTGTCATTGACATTAGATGTTTTGTGAAAGATTTCTCTTGGATATGATCCTCCATGCACATCCCCACCTTTTGCCTTCTACACTTTAAATTTTTTTCTGGAAATAAGTCAAAGGAATAGTTTGAGATCTGAGATGGATAGGTCATGCCAAACTACAGTAGCTCATATCAAGCTCAGACTTTTTAGAGAGCTCCCCATCTGCTGCTTGGTCAGCAGATTGCTCTTCAGGTCTCTCTCATTCAAGGCCAACTTCAAAGACATCAGCTTTTTTTTTTTTTTAATCTCAATAGTTTTGTCTTGCTTAGGGAGACAAAGTTTAAGTAACACTAAAAATTAAATTTTTATTGTGAGTTTTTTGGGCTAATACAAAATGATCTTTAGTAAGTTTTCTCAAAAGAATATATTCTAAAAAAAAAAACCACTGTGAGTGTGTATATGTCAACACATTCAGTTTTTTTATATTTGGAATTCCAGAATGGAATCAATGGAGTGGATTTTTTTCCTCCCAAAGAGTGTTGATCACAGAGATATTAAGAAAAATGTTTCCAGATATCTTCAGAAATTGTATATCCTAGAATATAGAAATCCTATATCCTAGAATATTTCTTGCTCTAAGTGACTAACAAACATATGTTTTTTTTCTGGTGAACAACTTCTGGGTACCACTCCAAGATTCCCTGGGAGGGAGGGCAATTATTTGGTGATACTTAACTGCTTTGTCTCTGGCTCAGTTTAACTTAATTTCACATATGAAGAATATAGGAAATTTCCTCCCCAATAAAATTCGTATGCATCTATTTTCATTATTTTTAAACATAAGATAGTTGCACTTATAATTACACCCTAGTTCCTACATTTAGGAAATACTTTTGCAATTTTAAAATAGTTAACCGTATATTGAGTATGTTTTATGTCACAGGGAATCATATTAAGCACCTTATGTAAGTTATAGTTGTCATATTCATTTAGGATAAGGTATTATTACCATTTTACAATTAAAAATATTTGTTTATAGATTTCTCTTTTTGCACAATTTCTGTTAAGTTTTTATATCAATATTAGGCTTGCTTCATAAAAATATTTTTTAATTTTTTTCCCATGCTCTGAAATTGTTAAAAAACAACAAAAAAATTGGATTAACAAATTTATTTTTAACCTTCACAACAATTCCATGGTTGTTCCTATCATTCTTCCCGTTTCAAGATAAGGAGGCTATGTCAAAAGAAGTGAAATAACTTGCTCTAGTCCATACAGTTCAGAGGTGATAAAGCCAAGATGCAGACCCAGATATTCCTGATGCAGAACCCTTCCTTAGAAATACCGTGCTGTTCTCCTTCTAGTTGGGTACCCTCAGGTCATGTTTCCCTTATAGCTCTTCATTTGCATACTTGGGTTACTTAACTCTACAAAGCCATGACTTCAGTTGTATAGGAGGTCTTCTCCTTTTGTAACTTCAATTCGTTTCTATGTCTCTGAGTTTACTTTTTTAATTATCTCCTTCTTTTGTCATTATCAGCTCCTTTGCTCATCTTAATTCTCTCTTTCTTTGAGCCATTCATAGTATTCTTTAACATTTTGGCCAATGAAATTTGCATTTGCCATGTTATAACTTCCTTTCTAAATTATGTGCAAACCTTTAGAAAACCTGAGTTCATTGCAGAGCTCTTTTGGTAACCACACTGGTCTTTAAAGGTATCTTATTCTTTTCCTTGGTAAAGATTTGTATTTGTGTACTTGTATCTTCAAATATTTTCTAACCTTGATGTGGTATCTTCTATTTTAAAATCAAACACTATAATTAGGGCTTTTGAAATCCATCTTTCTGTCACGTAAGCTACGTACCTGATGATGACTAACTTCCGTACTGGTTATGAAATCAATGTGTTGACTGCCTTAAAGATAGAAGTGCACTTCTAAAATTCTTTTATATTCTAAATAATTAAATAATCTGTAGGTTAAACCAAAGATTGCTCAGGTATACTTCTTTAGCCAAACAATGCTTCCAAACATTGCCTTGTTAGTTGGTTTCTCCTATGATGACATCATATTGGCTGTTAACAAAAAATACAGCATTTACTTCTTGTATTTGCTTGTGTGATAATTTGAGAGACAGAGATTACTAAAACCTATAAGGTAAAGCCCTTACTACGTGCTATAATGTTAAATGTTATTTTTGCAGCAATGGTACAGGAGAGAAAACTTAGTCTTAGAGAGAGTAAGAAACTTTCTCAAGATCACACAGCTAGAATGTAATAGAGGCAGAATTTGAACCTAAGTCTCTTTGATTCCAAGTATGTTCTTAAGCACTATGCTAAAATGCTTTGCATAGTTATATGTTCTTGGAAAGTTAGCCTCTGTATTATCTGTAAAATGTACATAATGCTTCTCCCTGCCACCGTAGTAGCTATTCAATATAGTAATGAAAGCGAAAGCACTTGGTAAACTATAGGATATTATTATTATATTTTTTAAAGTATCAACATGTTCTTATTTTCCATAAAAAGATAACTTTTATCTTAAAAAAATAACATTTTTGGAATCACGGAACATGAGTTGATACAGTCTTTAGTTCAGTCCTGGGTAATCTTTGTATCTCAATGTTTTTTATTTTGTTTCGTTTTTTATTTCAGTAGCAGCAGCAGCAGCAGCAGCAGAGCATATGAGTTTCAGTGAGGAAGATATTGTTCTTGGTCATTCTTAACCAGAGAGGGTCTTCAGCTCCACAACAACACAACACTTCTTTTCTAGGGAGTCATTAGCATCTTAGTGCAGATAATAGGATATTTTTGAACTTTTTTTTCAATTTGATGAAACAAAAACATACCCTGGGGTGGAAGAGAATCATATATTTTTTCATTAATCATTGATTTCATCTGGGCAGATTTTTAATATTGCAGAGTTTTAAGCCCCTAAGACAATATTCAGCTTAAGCCTAGAAAAATTACATAAAGGAATTCAAAGGCTTCAGCAAGCGGCTCTAGATCAAATAACTGTACCTCCTCTAGTGCAGCAGATGTTTCCTAAATTTCCATCAATTTCTCATTGTCAACAGATGCTCCAACTCTCTGCATGATCATACCAAGCCATGTAATTTGTGAGATGATGTTCATTAGTGACAAATAAACATATTAATTTGTATTCCTTCTTAACTCTAGTTTCTGGGATAGTCATAAAAAATAAAAGAGCTTTCACGTGCATTTTATGGTTTCTAAGATTTGGAAATTTTCTCGACTTCTTAGTGGACTCGTGACATTAGTCTCTCAGCCTGATAATACTTAGGTCTGGGGAAAGGTTTAAAACAAAAATTTTACTCATCAGTTTTGACTTTGTTCCTTTCAGCCAGTGATTGTTTTGATAAGCAGAAAGAGAATCAAAGACAAAAGTGCTTCAACTTTGTAGTACAGTGTTAAATCGTGTGTTATGGATTTCGCTTGATCCGCTGCCTGAAAATCAATTATATTTAATGGATTGATTTAAAAATTTTTAAAGGCTGGTGAAGCAGTTAAGCAGCATAGAATAGCAGAGGAATTATAGTGTGGTGGTTAAGGAAATGAACTCAAGCCAGACTACCTGGCTTCAAACTCCATTTTAAAGGAGAACCTTTGAGCCTTAGGAAAATCAGTTTATCTCCTCTTCTCCATTTTCCTGCTCTGTAAAACAGGATGATGATAATAATAGTGATACCATTAAGCGTATTCTATTTTTTCTTACTCAACTGTGTTTTCATTGTGAGAGCTTCTTCAGACAAACTAGACAATGCCGAAGTATAATTCTCAATTGCCAAAATATAATTTTCATAAAAATAGATAGTGAGCACGGGTTAGAGTTCTACTTAAGTCATTAATGAAGGAACCAGCAAAAAAACAAAGCAGATTCCTAAGAAGAAATGAGAGTCTGGATGGGTTTTGATAAAAGGAAAAGCTGAAATAAGATTGCTCAATTATCCATCTGATAAGGCAATTAAAGCATGCATCGAGAATACCTTTTCAATCAGAGAGAAAATAAGATCATCGCACCTTTTCAAATATTTTTAAGTCAACATTTCATTTTATAAGAGCTATAAAATATTTGGGCCCTAGTCAGTAGTAAATAGTAAATGAAACAAAGCTGCATTCTCTTAGTCAGATGATGCTTAGGTTGGTCTGTTAGGCAGTGCCCTAAAGCAGGGCCATAAGAACTGTCATTTTTTTGCATTATCTCCAGGTTCAGAATAATTTTTTTTAGTAAGAATGAACTATCAATATATTTAAGGATTTTTTTTTTTTTTTTTTATAACTCTATAAACCACCTGCAGAAACTTTTGGAACACTCTAGTTAGAGGCTTAGTGAAGAACCACTTGTATCTTTAGCAAAGGATAAAAGTCAATATTGACTAAATGGGGACATGGAATTTATGCAGTGCTTTTTGAATTGACAAAAGTTCGCAGACTATTTGAAATATCAAATGTATTTTACACTCATACTGTAAAACATGTATTTTTTTTTTAAGCCACTGAATTATGAAGAAAACCATCAAGTGATTCTGGAAATTGGAGTAGGCAATGAAGCTCCGTTTAGTAGAGATAGTGCACTCAGGACGACAACCATGAACAGAGCTTTGGTCACAGTTCACGTGAGGGATCAGGACGAAGGGCCTGAATGCAATCCCGCAGCCCAATATGTACGGATTAAAGAAAATTCAGTAGTGGGATCGAATATCAATGGCTATAAGGCATATGACCCTGAAACTAAAAGTAGCAACGGTTTAAGGTACAAAGAAATCTATAACCACATACTCATAATGTATTTGAAATAATTGAGACAGTAACTTATTTTAATATATTCAATAGATTGCTAAGGCTATTTTTGTTTTTTTATTAACAGATACAAAAAATTACATGATCCTGAAGGGTGGATCACAATTGATGAAATTTCAGGGTCAATCAAAACTTCCAAAATTCTGGACAGGGAGGCTGCAATTCCCAGAAATAACTTATATAATATTACAGTCCTGGCAACAGACAAAGGTAAACAAAAAAATTTTAATCTGGTATTTTATAAAGGAATTTGAGAATAATGCAGTTATTCTTATGCAGAATTATTCTTGTGGTAAGTATATGAAATTCTTAGAAGTTATTTTAAAGACTTTGTTTCTGTTTCTCTTAATCATCTGACAAGGTGAAACTACTTGAAAGTGAGAAGCATGTCTTTTTTATCTTTATATTCCCAGCATGGTGGGGCCTTAAATGCTCATAAATCTCTCTGTTAGAGGACAAAGATGGTACTGAAGTCTAGGACTAGATGAAATAATCTCACCAGACTCTTTTAGAACTCTTTATGTCACTTTACATTGAGTCTTTAAATAGTTCAGCTGACTATTAGGTCAAAGTGATTCTTTCCTCCAATTTTTTTCTTTAAAGTAGCCCAGAACTTCTCAACCCAGTTTTCATATTAAAATAATTTATGACTTTTAAAAAATATCAAGATATAGACACAACCTTAGACCAACTGAATCAGAATCCTTGGTTAGGGAGCCTGGGCATCATATATATGAAAAAAATCTCCCTAGGTGGTTCGAATGTATACTAGGATTAGCATATTTTTTCCGTAGTCATATTACTACTTACTAACATCTGCACAGAAGAAACCCAAGGAAATAGAGTTTGAAATTCATGCATTTATTTTTACTGTTTGGTAAAAACTCTAGTAAAAAGTTTATTGGGAATTGTATCTGATATTATCAAGAGCAGTACTCATTTTAAATGATCTGCAGGTTTCATTTATCCTTCTATGTTCTTATTTATCATTTCTTCTAAAAACCAAAAGTTTATTAAAAAACCCCATATATTTAAAATCTAGCTTTTTTTTAAATAAGAAATTATAAAAGACTTGACAAACTACACTAAACATTTTCTCCTTCTTCCTAGATGGTAGATCATGTACTGGGACACTTGTAGTTAATGTCGAAGATGTGAATGATAATGCACCAAAAATACTTCAAGATTATCTAGTCATTTGCAAACCAAAAATGGGATATACTGACATTTCAGCTGTTGATCCCGATGAACCTATCCATGGTGCCCCATTTTATTTCAGCTTGGCAAACACTTCTCCAGAAATCAACAAAATATGGACCCTCTCCAAAATTAATGGTATTAAATCAAAAATGATGATTTATATGCTCTGAATAGATTTACTTGTTTACTTACATGAAGCATTTATGATTAATTCTCATGAACAAATTTTAGATGCCTAACGTAATAAGAAAATCAATGTTGTTAGTGTTTAGTAGAAATGCTGTGAGATTGGGTTGAAGGAAGAATGGAATCTGGTGATGATGGGCCTATATACCTGGCCAAGGAGAATGGCCTTTGTATAGTACATAACAGCAGGTATGCATCAGGAGCGTACAAGTAAGGCAATACTGTATACAGCTTTATGTCTTAAAAAGGTGACATTGGTGACAATTAGCAGGATAATTTGAAGAAGGCAGAGTTGAGTGGCAAGGAAAATCAATAGCTGATATGCTCCTATGAATCAGTGAGACATGACTATAGCTCAGTTTGTGGTCTTGAGAGAGCGGAAGGATTAGCAGGATCTTACCTTAGACACAGTATGATCCTGAAGAGTCAAAATAAACCTGAGTAGTAATTCACATTCTTCTGGGAAGCTCCAGGTATGTGGTGCAGTTGAAAATCTTTGAGGTTCCTACAACTATAACTGCATTTAAGCATGGCTTACAAATTACAGATGACTTTCGGAGTGTGCATTATGATATTTTGTCATTTCAGTTAGTGCATTGCAAAAACTCAGTGTGGTATTGGCCATTGAAAGTGTGTGGGGTTTTTGGTCAGCTGGTAATAAGATCATTTAAATAAGGTATTAAGACTTTTGAGGGAAATATCACAGTTGATAATTATGCATTTTTATGATATAAATATGGCTGTTTTGTGTAAGCTTTATAGCTAGCTTGGGTGACATTAATTAGCTTTTTGGTATGGAGATTACTTCTGGAGGCAAGGCATTAATCACAAAGGGTATATTGTGTTTTGAAAAATGCCTTATCCATGAGGATAATGGACAGGTACCAGAAGGTAAATGGGTAGTAATATGTGAACTTAAAACACCCTTTGTTTGTCTATTGGTGTTAATTCTCTATGAGTGTCATAAAGTGATACTATAGAAAAATGCTTGAAATGTATGTTAAGAGCCAATCTAGCATTATTACTTTGTAGATAAGGGAATTATTATGAGAACATTAAATGTCGTTGAAATGTTACTGGGTCACTCCAATGCCAAATTATTCCTTTAAGTTTCTCTTGTAAAAGTTACAATGAGCACCACGTGTGTGGCAATGCTAGTGCTTGAACAAGTTGGAGATAGTCACTTATTTTTATTCGTTTTCATATGGCAGGTGGTTCTTTGAGAATAATATCTTTACAAACCAATGTGGTAAAGTAAATGCTAAGGGAGGAATAAATATTTATTAAAAATATAATTATTTCCTTTTCTTTCAGATACAGCTGCCCGTCTTACATATCAAAAAAATGCTGACTTTCAAGAATATAATATTCCTATTACTGTCAAAGATAGAGCAGGTCAATCTGCAACAAAAACCTTGAGAGTTAATCTCTGCGATTGTACTTATCCAAGTCAATGTGTGGTGGCTAAAAGGAGTGCAGGGGCATCACTTGGAAAATGGGCAATCCTTGCGATCCTACTGGGCATAGCATTACTTTTTTGTAAGTCTTTTTATTTACTTAAAGTTAAAATATATAAAATATCTGGATGCAAGAAAATGCCTTTAGAAAGTAATCTTATCCAACCACCCATCAGGTATGAGTCCCCTCTACAAATTCTTTTCGTGTTATTATCTAAGGTCTGATTGGCTGTTTTCTGTGAGAAGGAGCAAGATCCTTTCTGAGATAAAAGATTTCATATTTGGACAGAACTGTTGAAAATTCCTTAGATTGTGCTAAATCTGTCAACATATAAATTTTATTTTTTGGTCTTCACACTACCCTTTCTAGTACTAGAAGACAATCTAAAACTTCTGCTATATGAAAGTCTACTAAAAGCCATTTTTATTTCATATCTTCTCACCATTTAGCCACAGACTTATGGGAGATGTTCAGATCACAACAGTATCTCTTCTTTGATATTATCTTGCCCATTATGAATTGTATTAACCTTCTCCTTACCAGTTGTGTAGTTGCTAATGGCACCATATCTTTTCCTCTCTTTTTATGTCCACCCAATCCTCCAGCTTAAATTAGCTCTGTTTTTCCCTTGTTCTGTGATTAAGACTAGTGATTAAGAGCAAGAATCTGGAATCAGACTGTCTGGATTTGTACCCCAACTCTATCATTTGTAAGCCATGTGACCTGGGGCAAGTTACTTAACTGTGCTTCCGTTTTCTCATTGTAAAAGGGGATAATTATAATAGCCTACTTTATGGGGTAGCACTGAGGATTGATTGATTCGTGCAAAGAGCTTAAAACAGTACATGGTGTATTTTTAATAAGTGTTCATTATTTTTCATCAACTCAACAAAATCAACATATATTGAACACCTATGATATGCCAAAAACTGTGTCCAGGTGCATGGGATTCATCAGTGAATAAAACAGACAAAAATAATCAAAACCAAACAGTCTGTCTTGAGACAGTAAACAAATAAATTAAATGCTATGGCAGAAGAAAATAGAGCAAAATAAATAGGATCTGTAGTGCTGTAGAATGTGTGTGGGAGTGAGTGTGGGAGACTGGTGCTAGTAATTGCAGTTTTTCAGTAGATAGGTCAGGCCTAACTGAGAAGGTTATCTTTTATTATTTTTGGAAAAGGTGAGTCAGCCAAGTGGAGTATCTGGGGAAAGAGCTTTCAGTGAGAGGAAAAAGTCAGTTCAAAGGCCCTAAAGTGAGACTATGGGGAAAACTGAGGAATGGCAGGGAGACCATTGTGGCTGGAGAGTAGTGGGTAAGGGGTAGTGGGGTTAGAGATGGAAGCAGAAGGGTCACAAGAGGCCACTTAGATTAGATGGGGGTTGGTAGATTTTCTTTTTTGTTTTTGGAAAGGGCTAGATACTATATATTTTCAACTTCACAGGCTATATGATGTGGTTTCAGTTATAACCAATCAAATCTGCCCTTGTAGCACAAAAATAGCCATAGAAAATATTTAAATCATGGGCAGGGCTATGTTCCAATATAACTTTATTTATGGGCACTACAATCTGAATTTTATATAATTTTCATATGTAATAAACTATTATTCTTTTGATGTTTCCAACCATTTAAAAATATAAAAACCATACTCATGGGACATATAAAAACATGTGGTGGACTGGATTGGGGGCTGTAGTTTGGCAATTTGTGGTATAAGAGCTTGTAGAACAGTGTAAAGGAGTGTTGTTGCTATTAGTTTTATTATCACATATTTCGACCTTTTAAAATTATAATATAGAATGAAAATTCTGACTAGACAAAGTACAAAGTAGGTTTAATTCTGAGACTTAGAGTGAAATCTATTCTGGGAAAAATGTTTTGTTATGCTTTGCTATAGGCAAACCATCCTTTTGGGAATCAGTAAGTCTTCTTAAAGTCTTTGTCTTACATAAATATCATTAATTTTTTTTTTAAATGTACTACTTAAATTATAATTCTAAATACTTTAATATGATGGGTAGAATTCAAGCTTTAAAGAGGTCTACCATCAAAACATACATATAATAATGCCAAATTTTAACATTTAAGTTAAATCATGGTCTGGTAATCTAGAAAGGTCAAGGTGATTTAGAGGACATTATGCTTAGTGACTTTATTTGCCTCCTGTTCCCCTAAAGTGATATGATACAAAAGATGGATAATTTTATTCTATGTGTGTTAAACTATATATTTACTTTTTTTTTTTTTAAAAAAAAAAACAAACAAACAGCTGTATTGCTAACTTTAGTATGTGGAGTTGTTGGTGCCAAAAAGAAAAAAGGTTTTCCTGAAGATTTAGCACAGCAAAATTTAATTATATCAAACACAGAAGCACCTGGAGATGATAAGGTGGTAAGTAATTTTTCTAAATCAATATATATCTCTGAGTATCTCCTATAATTTCTTAATTCATCCTCATGAAGTTATTTTGAAATTTAGGAGCTATTTATATTTTTAATTGGATCGGATTTTATAGGCAAAAGCATTTTATCTGTCAGTATTCAAATATTTATGTAGTGTCTTTTATTAAACTTTTAAAATCAGATCTATTGTTCTAGTTATCTTTTTTCTACTCTTTAGTGTTATGATTTAAAACTTGTTCTTTGATGTTGTAAATTTATTATAATAACAATCTTTTTGGCTGCTCTCTACAATGTATATTTCCAGATACTGTTTTTATCTTGACTATTTAAAATGAGAAAAAAAATTACTAAAAACTCTGAAGATAAACAAATATCAAAGAGATATATGTGTTGTGTATGTATGTGTGTGTGTGTGCGTGCGCATGTGTAGATTGAAAGATTATTGCCATTCTCTTTTTTATTTTTATTTTTTTGGGACCTCTGAGGTGTTTGGCATTATGCTTCCTATTTTGGGGGAAGTATACAAAAAAAATTCTTACAAGATATATTATTTCCTCAAAAAGACTTCAATTTATTTATGAGAAATAGAATCTACTTTTGTATA